TTTGGTTTTTCTCCGGTACCGGGAACCGAACTCACGACCTTGCGCTCGCCAGGCAGGCGCTTTTGCCACTGAGCTAAATCCCCAGCCCCTGCTTTGATTCTCAAAGAACAGAAGAAGGCCAATGAAGTGGTCCACAGGATGCAGTAGGAGATGTGAAGGACTATGTAGTTATCCTTGTGGATGGCATGGCAGACATTTGGAGCCAGGCAGCTGACAAACTTTTCTCAGTGGGAGCCACCCAAGTTTATGCTGTTTTGACTCATGGAATCTTCTCTGGCCCAGCCATTTCTCCATCAACAGTGCATGCTTTGAAGCAGTGGTAGTCACCAATTCCATACCTCGGAAGGATGAGATGAAGCATTGCTACAAAATACAGGTGATTGGCATCTGCATGGCCCTTGCAGAAGCCATCAAGAGAGCTCACAGTGGGGACTCTGCTTCCTACCTGTTCAGCTATGTCTCTATATTAGAATGACTGCTGAGGCTTTTTTAAAAAAAAATGGTCTGGCTGAATTCAAGCTGGCATTTATTATCTTTCCTTAGGATGGCAAATAGATTTCAATTCACATGCCATGTCTGAATTATTTATTATTTGTAGTAGCTGCCTGAATGACCCCAAATGACCCCACCCCTTGTTTTCCCATGGTATTTGAAGACAAATTCAGCAGAAGACCCAGCTTATTCCAATGTAGCGCTCCATATCCCCGTGACATATTAGAGTTTATCCTAAACTGGGGAAAGACAGATTGAGACTGACTGCTGGGATTTCCTGCCTACATTGTTTCATTCTGGCTCTCTTGATGATTTTGTGAGCCTCTTGGCTTTAACTGGAGTTCAACTGCTGCAAGATTTCAGACTTCTGAGGTTGTGGTGCAAGGCTATTTGAATGTGATTAGGAAAGCTCACTCTCCTTTACCTGTGAGTACTTCAGACTAGCAAGAGAGGCAGCCCAAGTGCAACACATTCTCTATATTCTATACTAAACTGCAGAAAGTCCTGGGCAGTCCCAAACCTAGTTCCAGTAGAAGTAACACCATGTAAGGAAGGAGTAGGCAACTCAGCTTGAGCAACTGTCCAGTGGGACCTAGAAAGGGGGGAGGGCAATAACACAGTACAGCAAATGCTTCTTTCTGACCCACCATCATCTGCTAGCCTTTGTAGCTTGGATTCTCCTTTGTACCCAGCCCTTTCTATTTGGCTTAACCTACTACTCTCTTGACCATTTCCTGGCCAAATATCCTCTTGGGCCCAAATGACCATTGTTCCATAGTCTTTTGGAACACAAATTTGCTCTATGCTGTTATTGCTAGCATTCACATTAGATAATTTGTTGTAGCTTAATCTTCCTTAGCCTACTACCACCGTGGTAGTAGGTTTTAGATGATATCAAATGGTGCCTTTTGATTAAGTATTTAATTTTCATCTTCCATCCTTGGATCTGTTTGACCACTCAAACGAACTGAGATTTCTATTGAAAAATATTGATGTTATTGTATCTTGTAGAGGAACGTAAGAAACTGTGTGTGTGAATTTGGGTCTATAAAAATTAAAAATAAAAAAAATGATAAAAAGGAGGGATTTGCCAAGGAACTGATTGGTGGAAAGAAACTTGGTAACCACAAATCTTCTCTGTCTCATTAGCAGGAATATTTTTGGGTAGCCATTAATTAAGGAGCTGTTTTTATAGAATTAGTACATTCATTTACACAACAAATACTTACTAAATTTTCATTGAATATCTACAATTTTCATAGGTATAGAAAGATATAATTTCTCTCTTTGTATCAATAAGGTTTGCTATTTACATTTCTTTGTATGTCAACAATAAAATTTTATGATTGCATACAGTATTAGTTCTTTTTTTTTCTCTTTCCCACACTCCATTCCATTCCTAGCTTGAAGACCGTGAGGTTAGTCAAATGTTCTGCTAGAAGGAACACAGCTAAAAGAACAAGTTTCAACAGAACATTTCTTAAGTTCACTCAGATCCTGAGAATCCTGTCTTATCAATAAAATGTTTCAATGTTCAGGCATTATTTTGCCTGCAAAAACAAACTTTCAGAAATTGGTACAAATACAGCCTGTACAAATGACTGAGTTGATATCACTCAGGTAGTTCTATTTCACCTTCTTCCACAAATGATTTGAGGTACTTCACTAAAATATAGACACAACTAGATTTTTTAAAAATGGTCAAAGGAACCAGCAAGAAAGCTCAGTGAAAGGCGAATAACACAGCCAGTGATAAGATTAATATTTAAGTGCACACTCTACCAGTTCCAAGACAGTTGTCAAAAGCAGGCCAGAAACGTGATCCTAAGCTTTTGAATAGCCATAGAAAATAGGAAATGCAATCATTTGAAGGTTTCCAGTGCTCGTAAGATAAAAACAAAAATGTTTTTGTTTTGTTTTTAATGGGTGCACAATTTTTCTTCAATTTCATTCCTGAGAAAAATCCTGTTTCCTCATTAAGCTGATGCAGTGAGCTAATTGGGAACTAAGTGTCATAAAGAATTATACCCAGATCCCCACAGTGGCACTCCTGGCACAATCACAGAGCATAGTGCTGTAAATCTATTCCATAAACCATCAGAACATCTCTGTTCACTTGAGTACACGAGCCCTCAATGGTCTGGCTGAATTCAAGCTGGCAGTTATTATCTTTACTTAGGATGGCAAATAGATTTCAATTCACATGCCATGTCTGAATTATTTATCATTTGTAGTAGCTGCCTGAAGAACTATGTTAAGAAATTCTGTTTTTCTCAGACTCCGAAGGAAGTTCTGTGATCCATTAACAATGCTTTGGGTGCAGGCTGAGGAAGGGGTTGCATGCACAACCTTATCCGGCGACTGTTTTAGAGAAATAGAGGTCCTGCCTGAGGGATTGTTGTGCAGTCACCCCAGTTCAACAATGCTCATTCCAGAGTTTTTGATAAATATCAGACAGCAGGGGGCTCAAGATCTTTTTCTCCACCTACCCTGCCCATACTGGCCTTCCCCTGTTCCTATCAGATAAAGGCCTTGAAAAAACAGAGACTGACCTCCACAGAGGAAGAAGGAATGCTGCTTGCCAGCTATCTTCGAACTTGAACTGTAACTCTTAGACCTGCAGCCTGCTTGCCTATCTTGTATATTTGGGACCTACCAGGCCTGCACAATTGCATAAGTCGATTTCTTGAAATAAATCTCCCTCTCTTCTCCTTTCTCCCCTCCTCCCTCCTCCTCTTCCCCTTCTGCCCGCTCCTCCTCCTCCATTGCTGAACTCTGACTAATCCACAAGGTATTATGGAACAGAACAGGAATTGATCCCCTACACTTCAGCCACACCACCCAAACATCCCCCTGCCTCATCCCGCCAGAGTCATTTCTCTCCTCTGCCTGGCCAAACTTTT